TACAATAAATGGAGTTTAGCATGCAAGAATAAAGAGCCTTTGAAATCAGATAAATTGCATTTAGTTATTGACTGCAACATAACAAACCACCTCAAAACTCAGTGACTTTAAACACTTCACCATTGTCTCTCTCCTAGTTTTGCGGATTGACTGGGCTCAGCAGGTAGTTCTTGCTTGGAGTCTAAAATTTGATTGCAGTCAGATAATGCGTGCAGCTGGGATCATCTGATGACTCAGCGAGGCTATATATCAAAGCAGTGCCTGACTTTTTCACTCAACACCTGGCACCCAGTGCCCTTCTTGGCTATTCTTCTGTCCATTAGCAGAGCCTGGAGTTTACCTGGGGGTTCAATTCTGCCAGAAGAAGAGGGAGGAAGTCGAATTTCCTTAGGCCACTTAGGGTTGTGCCCATAGGAATTATGCATCATTTTCTGTCATGGGCTAGTGGTCAGAGCTGTCACGGGGCCTGTCCAGGTTCAAGGGTTTGGAGAATTAGATTCTACCCCTTAGTGGGGGACTACCAATGGCAATGTCCAAACATAAAATTGCATATGGTGGTGGAGACTATTACAGTCATCTTTGGAAAATGCAATCTGCCACAAAGAGTACAAGGAATGTGATAATTAATGTTTTGAGAAGAGAAAGTTTCCTGAAAAAGGCAAAAATTGACTTAAGTTTTGAAGAATAAATAAAATTTCAATGTTAAGAAAGATGAGAAGCAAGGTAGATGAAGCATATTCCAGACAAAGTATAGATATTATCCAAATATATTTCATGCTGAATGTTGGGGAAAGCATAGAGGCATATGTTTGCACAGGATTGTAAAGTACAAGGCCAGAGTTTTGGTAAATGGGAGAGGATTAGACATGGGAAAATAGTGAAGAACCCTGTCAACTATATTCAAGCCGTGGAGAGTGTCTGAAGGGTTTAAAGCATATGACCAGTGGGGTTATGTTACTTTTAAGAAAGCTCAGACTAGTAGTAATTCAAATAAAAAACGAACCAAAAAAATGAAGGCAAGATAAGAGATAAGTAAAGTAGCAGAGTGCTTCTTGACCAAGAGACAAAGTGCCTCCACTGCACTTGAAATTAGTCTGCCTAGGTGTGAAACCCGGCGCTGACACTTGCTGACTGCATGAGTTCATGCAGGTCACTTGGTCCCTCTGTGTTTGTCTCTTTTTCTTCACTTGAAAAATAGATGATGCTTTTGAACTGTGTGTTGGAAAAGACTCTTAAGAGTCCTTGGACTACAAGGAGATACAACCAGTCCATCCTAAAGGAAATCAGTCCTGAATATTCATTGGAAGGACTGATGCTGAAGCTGAAACTCCAGTATTTGTGGCCACTTGATGCAAAGAGCTGACTCATTGGTAAAGACCATGATGCGGGGAAAGACTGAAGGCAAGAGGTGTAGGGGATGACAGAGTATGATATGGTTTGATGGCATCACCAATTCAATGGAGATGAGTTTGGGTAAACTCCTGAAATTGATGATGGACAGGGAGGCCTGGTGTGCTGCAGTCCATGGGGTCGCAAAGAGTTGGACATGACTAAGTGACTGAACTGAACATACGCCAGGTTGTTAGAATGATTACATGAGCTGATCGCTATGAGGCATTCAGAATAGTGTCTGTCATATGGAAAGGTAATGTTTTCTGAATTTATTTAAACCCGGGAATCACCAGGCTGGTGCAACAAGAGCTTACCACACACCTGCCTCACTTAATACCTTTAACAACCAGTGAGGCAGGTACATTATCAGCTCCTTTGACAAATGAGGGTAGTGAGACATTGAGACTCACGTAAATTTCCCAAAGTCAGCAATTTACAATAGAGACCAAATTTGGCAAAGAGAGAATGACAACAGAAACATGTAGAACCAGAATCAGTTTTCCATTCTAAACCCTTTATTTTCCAAACAGAGAATCTATATATTTCTATTTAGACAGCCAAACCATTTCTTTGCAGCGGTGATGATTTATTTTTTTAAACATTATCTCTCAACCACATTATTAAATTTTCTCTGAGTATATGAGTATAAAGCTTACCAGTTGCTAGAAGTTAAATTTATTCAGAACCAAAAATCACCATTTGCTTAGACAGAAAGACAAACTAGACTTCTTATCTTTCCAAAGGAAAATAGCTGACAAATCAATTTTGCATGAAGCTTTGGAGCTTGCGTTTGGCTTTTCTTCATTAGCAGCACCACAGAATACTTCCAATATTTGGCCTGGTGGTTTCTCCTATCCAACTAACATACCCATTACAGAAGACTCAGCCTGGAATAAATGAATCAGAATTTGTAGACCTGAGTATGGAGGTGACAGGTGACTGGAGAGTGTGACTTCCTTCAAGGGGATGTGCTAGTAGGTTTCATTCGCTCTTTCTTCAGCTGTTGTTCTATATATCCTGCCGTGATGCAGAAGACACTTCAGTGGGATCAGGAATAAAACTTTAGGAGACATCTCTACTGAAAAGAAGGAAGGAAGGAAGAGAAAGAAAGGAAGGAAGGCAAGAAATAAGGAAGAAAAAAGAAAGATAAAGGGAAAGAGAAAGACGTTAAAACGTAAAAATAAAAATAGATCTATGCTGAGAACTAGTCTGTGTGAAGTAGATACGTCTATTTCTCTCTCCGAGACCAGTTTTGCAGGACTGTGCAATGACCCGATCAGAAACCCTCCACGCTCACACCCTGGCATGCCGGCTGGTGGGCGGCTGTGAAGCCCATGCCCCAGAGGCGCCGAGCCCTCCAACCGCACCCCCCCTGCTGCTGCCCCTGCTCTCACACCCCTTATCCTCTCGAGAAGGAATCTGCGGGAAATGTGTCATCCTGCTTTCACTCGGCCTCCAACCAACTGTTTCACAAGCTCTTTCATTTGATCAATATTGCACCCGTAAGACTTAGCTCGAAGGTTGGTTTTCATTCAAAACAGTTTAGAAATCATGGGAATCAAATGGGCTAAAAATTCTTCACTTGACTAAAAGGAAAAAATGAAAAAACACAAAACTTGTTTTCTCATTCTTTCTGTTCCTCTGATTTTATTCTAACCAGATGGATTCAGTGACCAGAACCCCACAACACACACACACACACGCACACGCACACGCACATGCACACACAAACCAACAACTCTAACGTGAAATTCTACCTTTTCCATAATGGGAACCTGTCTCAGAGCCGGGGAGGAGAGGTGTTTCTCTGCTCTAACATGGGGTTCCACCGAGCCCCGGGGAGACAGCAGCCTGTCCTCATCGGTGCTCCCTCCTGAACCAAGCAGAGGGCAAGACACAGGATGAAATGCCAGGGGCTTTCTTTGACCACATTCCCTTTGTTTAAAGAGCTTGCTTTTGTATAAATGACTCACATTGGTCAAACAGAGGAAACAAACTCCCCCTCCTTCCCTGAAGTCAGGAAAATTCAATCACTTTAGGATCACTCAGAACTGTCACCATCACTTCTGGGGCCACTCACGCCAGGAACCTGGGCTCTCAGCAACGGAAGGGGGTTCCCAGCTTTCCTCTTCTTGTGTCCCAGGGCTTCCCGGGCGGTGCCAGAGGCAAAGAAGCTGCCTGCCAGTGCAGGAGATGCCAGAGACATGGGTCCATCCCTGGGTAGGGAAGATGCCTCGGACTAGGAAACGGCATCCCAGTCTAGTGGCACCCCACTCCGGTATTCTTGCCCGGGAAATCCCATGGGCAGAGGAAGCTAGCAGGCTCTAATTCATGGGGCCACAAAGAACTGGAGGTGACTGAGCACCCACACTGTGTCCTAAACCATGTCCTAAACCGCTGGGATCTGTTTCTCAGAGCTTGGGGCAGAGCAGATGGAGGGGCCAGGAACCAACGAAGGCACAGAAAAGACAGCATAACTAACGTGAACGCGATTCAGGGGCACGGTTTCAGCAGTGCTGGATGTACTGGCTGTGTTTCATAAGGTTAGGAGTCAAGGTTTAATAAGAGAGAGATCTGTACGGAGCTCCCCAGGTGGCGCTAAAGGTAAAGAACCCGCCTGCCAATGCAAGAGGTGCAAGAGACGCGAGTTCAGTCCCTGGGTCGGGAAGATCCCCTGGAGGAGGGCATGGCAACCCACTCCAGTACTCTTGCCTGGAGAATCCCATGGACAGAGGAGCCTGGCGGGCTACGGTCCTTAGGGTCACAAAGAGTCAGACACAACTGAAGCGACTTGGCACACATGTAGTTATCTGTATTGATGCAGGAGATACCAAAGCGTGCTCTAGGTCCAAGGCCAGAGGGAGGAACTGGCAGGAAAAGAAAGGGAGAGAGAGAAACGGGGGAGAGGAGATCTGTGTGACTGCTTGAGCTCAGATGTGGCCCTGACGGTAACTTGCAGAGAGCATTGGAAACAGGGCAGGGGCCGGCTCACCCATGCCAGGAGGGCTTTAAACGAGGGGACTGCACACCTCTGTTTACCCTCCACTCAGGAGCGTGTGTCCTCACTTAGCTCACACTGTGTGGAGACCACAGACGTCCAGGGCCCTGACCTGGGTAGGAAAGTTCCACCGGATATCTTATCACCCTTATCACACGTTTAGTGGCTAAACGTGTCACTCACTAGCCCGTACAGACACAGACATGTAGATTCATTTCCCCACAAATTTTTAACGAAAGCTCTGGGTTGGCCAAAAATTTCGTTCGGGCTTTTCCATGACATGTTATAGAAAAACCCAAGTAAACTTTTGGCCAACCCAATAGTAGACTGCTATCAACCCCGTTTGAATGTTGGTACATGCATCTGGAGTGTGACACCGGTTTCAGTCAAAAGCATGCCTGCATTCGCTCTTCTGACAAGTCCCAGTTTCACATTACATTGAGCAGAAAGCGAAAGGAGAAGCCTGTTGATCCTTCTGCCTAGGTTTCCTGGTCAGGCAGTCAGTTTTTATTGCTGGCTTTAAGAGGCCCACCCCCAAAACAAACTTCGAGAACTCAGTTGGAGGTCATCTGACTAATTCCGGGAAGTCAGGAGGAAGAAGGGGGAAACGTCACTTCCGACGGTCACTGTGGAGAGCTTCCTGCTCAGGGCACTGTCTGCCCGAGCGGAGGGGCTGGAGCGCCGCGCGGCCAGTCAGAGGCCCCGCCGGGCCTGGGGTCCCTGCAGGGCGCTCGGACCCTCGCCAGCTGCTCTCACGACAGACTGAGCTCTGTCTGTGGCGGCGAGCCTCCTGGCACTGGGGGTGGCCATGGCGGACGGAGGGCAGAGCCTCCTCAGAGAGAGCGCGGGGGGGAAGGCGCCATGGGCTCGGGGAGCAGCGGAAACGCGTCTTTCCTCGGTGGGAAGCCTGCGATGGAGGCTTGAAAAACAGCAGCTTCCTGCTGAGCAGCCTGAGGCCCAGCTCCTGGAAATGGGCAGGTTGTCTGAAAGCCGGGGCTTCAGGAAGAAGATGAAGAAGACCACTGACGTGATCAGGGAAGGCACTTGGCCTTCGTCACAAGGGAGTAAGGTCTTGGCAACTGTCCACACATGTCTCTGAGGTAACGTGAAGCTGACATAGATCTTTCCTGAACACATTTATTCAAAGGATATTTATTTGGTGCTTATCATGAGCCTGCTTAAAAGATGGAAAACTGAATGACATGGCACAGTCAAGATCAAAACCAGACACAGAAATCCTTTTTCTAGTGTTTGATGGAGACGCCCAGCCTGTGCCTTGAATTTACTCTTTAAAGTGGATTATAAATAAAATTTAAACTTGGCTAGAACGAATTTTAGGTTTTGAATTATGTCTTTTTGCACAAAAAGTTCTCATTACTTCAGTTACTCCAAGGAATGTTCAGATATCCTCCCCAAAGTTAGCTACAGTCTGGACAATTTAAATATGTGAATTATTTTTTCAATAAGAAAGAAAAACTTTCTGATTTTTTTCTGATCCTGAACACAGTTTTTCACAAAAATTTTCAAGTACTTCGTATATGCCTGGTTAAAATAGTGAAAACTTTGTAACAGAGTCATCTACACTCTATGCCAACAAGAAGACGTTGGATTTTCAAGGACTTGATTCTTTCTCCTTTATATTTGTAAAGAATTCCACAGCTAACATGAGGACTTAGTATGTATCAGACCGTGTCTTAATTCATTTATGCACATTACTTCTCTAAACCCACACAACCACTCCTTGAGTAGTTACTACTATATCCCCAATTTTCAGATGGAAATAGAAGTCTCAGATCCAGGAAAGGCTTAAATGAGAATGAGATATTCAGTCAGAGGAGTACATCCAGTCCTCTTTTCAACCTGATACACGTTCCAGAAAATTACTGATGCATTTAGTCAGTAAAGATAAATCATGAAATTGATAGTTGCTCACTTGGGAACTTTTCCAGCCCTAAAGAGCTAAAGGAAATCCCATCTGGCTAAGAGTAAGCTTCTATCCATATAAAAACAGGTATTGAAGAAGAAAACTACTGCTTAACTATCCTTGTTTCCTGCCACTGGTTTCCGGAGCTTACTGAGGACATATTATTTCAATCACCCATCTAATGCTGGATTACTTATTTCTTTATACAGATAGCTCATATAATCACATGTATTAAAGCCGTAATCTTTGTGAGGTCAGAAAGTATGTCAGCTTTCAGCTAGACAGATATCAGGGACTAGAGTCATCCGTTCATGTCTGTGTATGATTCACAACAACCGCCAAAATCTGCCCACTCCTTTAATAAATATTGATTTTTTTGTTTTGCACCAGAAAATCTCCTATATGTTAGGGATTTAGTGGTTTAAGAAAAAAAAAAAAAAGACAAAATTCTTATTCAAAAAGAAGAGAAATCCAGACAAGGGAAATAGCAAAGTCAAAACCGCTGAGGTTAGAAATAAGCTTTGTGTGGAACAAAGCAAAAAAGAATTGAGTGTGGAAGCAGGAAATAGCCCAGAGGTCATTGCAGGTATTACAGAGCGATAGTTGCTGTCTTCCACTATGAAGAGAGCTGGTGACATGTGGGCACAAGTTTCAGATCTAAACTCAAGGTGTCTGTCTGATAATGTGAGTGCAAAAGTGGCTTCTAAGGTCTTATTTGCTAACAGTAGGAGCAGGTTTCCTGTGAAGGAGACCAGCGGTTCTCTGTGGACCGTGGTAAGCAGGAGATGACTATTATATTAGAAATGTCATCCAGGCCATTGGATGTATATGTCTGGTACCCAACACTGAAATTGCAAACATGGATAAGCACAGTTTTGTTGGAAGTGATTTTGGCTGCTGGAAACAGAGCTCTTGTTTCTTTCTGGACTAGTCAGTTATATTTATGAGGGCAGGAATATTCTTTTGTCCATCTCTGTGTTCCATTCTTTAACTGGATGCACACCATACCGTTGTAAAGTTGGGCTGAATGTAATCAGTCCAAGCAGAGACATACTGGACCAACACATCAATAAATACATGATCAGAACAGAGATCATATAAGGTGTATCTTCTGTTTTCCAGGGGCATAAGCCTTAGATGAGGCATATAGTACATTCTTAAAAACTAAAATTTGAGAAAGCATATGCTTGCATGCTAAGTCACTTCAGTCATGTCCAACTCCTTGCAGCCCCATGGTCTGTAGCCCACCAGGCTCCTCTGTCCACAGGATTCTCCAGGCAAGAATGTTGGAGTGGGTTGCCATGCCCTCCTCCAGGAAATCTTCCTGACCCAGGGATCGAATCTGAGTGTCTTAATTGCCTATATTGGCAGGCGAGTTCTTTACCACTAGTTCCACCTGGGAAGCCTGAGAAAGCATATACTATGTGCCAAAGCATGTATAGACGAAAGACTTGTAGGGAATGAGGCCCTTGTCAGGCACCTGAGGGTTGAAGTGGCCAGGGAGAGCGTTAAGGAGGCATACATCCAGGCCTGAGCCTTGCGAGGTGTGTAGGGTTCAGAGTCTTGCTGATAAGCTGCATGACCACATGTACGGTATCATATTTTTATAAACTAACCAGTATAGGATATCAATTTGAACAAAAAGATGGAACCTATTTAAGCATGTCTTTAAATACTGGATAAAGACCTGGAATTTATCATGTATACAGACCACCGAAGAGGAGGCCCTCTCTAGGGCTTATGCAACTAGAGCTTAAGAGCCTGTCAGTATTTTTAAGGAAGAAAAATTCTAATGATGCACCAGTGGAGTGGACACCATGCTAGCATGTGAGGACTTAGGAGGCCATGGGAAAAATCCCCCGCACACTCAAAGAACCCCTCTATCACTTCTCTCACCTGCCTCTACAAGAAATGCCCTCATTAAAGGACCGCTTCTTTAAGTCCAGTCAGCTCACTGGTGTTCTGTTTGGAGTCTATAGGCTTATGCATTTGGTTTTAATGCTTTAAGAGACATAAGTGGATGGTAAAAAACATCCAACCTTAGAGGAGTAAGTGGGGCTCCCGAAGTTGAAAGAGGCAGGAAGAGAGCTTAGGAGCTCCAGTTTATCTGGAGTGGATATCTTCTTCCTTCCCTCTCTCTCTGTGTATTATTTATTTATTTATTTGACTGTGATAGGTCTTAGTAGCAGCACGTTGGGGCTTCCCCAGCACGTTGGGGCACAGTGGTACAGAACCTGCCTGCCAACGCAGGAGACGCAGGTTCGATCTCTAGAGGAGAGTATGGCAACCCACTCTAGTATTCTTGTCTGGAGAATCCCATGGACGGGAGCCTGGAAGAGTCCGTGTTGCAATGAGCGGGACACGACTGAAGTGACTTTGCATGCATGCACGTGGGATCCAGTTCCCTGACCAAGGACCCAACCTGCACCTCCTGCATTGGCAGCGTGGAGTCTTGGCCACTGGACTGCAAGGGAAATCCTCTTGTTATTTCTTGAGTTTTGTAAACACATTCTCTCACAATCAGAGAAGAAATCCCTCTTTAAAAAGAAAAGACAACCACTGTATCATTTTGTTTGTTTTGAAAGCATCTGGGAAAAGACCAAGAAGCAAAAAATAGCTTCCTTCCTCTGCTAGACAAATGCCCGAGTCACAGTCAGTGGCTCCTTGTATCACAGTCTGGACTCTTTTTTAATATCCGTGAAGGGAGCGTGCTGATTCTGCTCTCCATGACAAAACATCAGAAAGAAAGCAGGGGACCTTTTGAACATGAAAGCAGACGGACATAACAAACGGAACGCGAGCCGCCTCTTGTCCCCTACTCACAGCCGTCCGCTGTGAGTGCCCCACGGTCGCCACACTATGGATTAGGCTCTCCTGGTTCTGCCCTGGTGTCAAAGCATCTAGCTAGGTAAAGGAGAGCTCCACTCGAAAAGGATGAGAATTTGGGGAATTGGGCAGCTAAACAGAGAACTCCCTCTAATGAGGATATTGCTAGATATATCAATTTTTGCCGGTTACCCTTCTTGAGACTTGGCACATTTGTGGAATATTTGAGCTATGCTAGATTACTTTATTTGAAAGCTGACCAACTTTGGAAAAGAATATGAGTACCATCTCTGATAGGGGAATTAAGATTCCACAAGCTGTGTGGTACAACCAAACAAATAAAAATAATAACAAAAGTAACAAACAGACATCTCCTGCTCTAAAGTCCTGCTAAAATGAAGCAGCCTTATTCTTCTAAAGTCATCCTTCTTATATCTAAAATTAGGGGGTATAATATAGCAAACAAGCATAAGAAGACTCTGAAAGTTGGAAAGAAGTCAGTAGATGGACTAGGGGTGGTGGAACTTGAGGACCAACATGATATTGAAACTGGTACAGATGAAAAAAATCTCCATGGAAAGCCTGTTCTTTTCTCTATTTTTTAAATCAATGTCTCACCCTGCTCTATCCAAAATAGGGATTGAAAAAACTCACCACCACTATAGCCCCTGAAGTTTCAGCAGACCCAGCTGAGATTTGGCTTTCACTCCCCAACCTCCTCATGGAAGCGCGGAAGCAGGTGGCAGGCTCTGATCCCCCCCAGTGGTGTCAGCGGGACTGGGGGCAGAGACCTTCCAGTTCCTGTCAGACAGAACCAGGAGGTGCTGACTGCCCCACCTGGGCACCGCTGACCGTGGTCAGTCTTTCACTTCCTGTCTGGCTGAAACAGACTGTATATTCCAGTCCTTGCATCAGGACAGTGTCTGTAGAGCCCAGTAGCTGACTGAGCCTTCTCCCAGATTCAGTAGACTTAACCAGGTGGGACAAGGCAGGGCTAGTCACTGCTGGGTTTCACCAGTCACCACATCCATTCCCATCAGGCACCAAGACTAAACATGGTGAGGAAATTCAGGACTAGTGATCACTCCACTATCTCTGCTTCCCAGGTGGTGCTAATGGTCAAGAACCTGCCTTCCAATGCAGGATACACAGAGACAGAATTTCTATCCCTGGGTTGGAAAGACCCCCTGGAGGAGGGCATGCCAACGCAGTGCTCTTACCCGGAGAATCCCA